ACATGATCACCAACCTGGAAGACACGAGTTATCTTAACGTAACCAGCTTGAGCTTATTCTTTGTAAGGTGACCTATGTTTTAAATTTCAAAGAACACAAAATTAGTAAGTTTATGGTGGCATCGGCTGTCATAATCACAATCAAGCTGCTCAAGGTAGGTCGTTCTTCTTTACTCCTAAAGGAACTCGCTAATGGTGTTCCTAGAGTATATTACTGAATTTCAAAAGAACTTTTCAAAATGTTTATGAAGTATTAATAAAACTCGAATATTCGAGTTTTGATTAGTTGAGTTTCTTAAATTTCGAATTATTGGAATTTGATTACTTAAGATTAGTAGCTTATGAATCATTTGAAATTCGAACATTTGAAAATTTCAATTTTAAAACTTTTCGAAAAAATGAATAGTTGGAAATTTTTATATTCAGTCTAAAACTCGGAATCAATAATTTAATGTTTCGAATTATGCCATTCAAATATTCGAAATTTTCCCTTGTCCCAATGCATAGTGGGTACCTCCCAAAATTTTGCTCAGTAGGGAAGGGCACGGGAGGATGCGGTAGGGGAAGGAAGAGGTGGGAAGGGAATAGTTGTTAAACCATTTGAAGCAGGACGACGTTATATCACTTCTGGCTACAGTAACTGAATTTAGAAGAATTGTGCAGCTTAGTCGAAAGCGAATTTTGGCTTCCTTTGGAATATCTCTTTTATGTAGTTCCTCCTCTCAGACCCCCCGCCCCAAGGAGATTTGTTTTAGCCATTGTTACCTAAATTTGCTGAAGGCAAAAGCATGCCAAGAAATTGTCAAGGATTTACACCAAGTCAGCAAAGGCACATGCTTCTCAGGTTTCTGCAAGACAGACGATTCCCATACTTCTATATTCTCATTTGCAGCATATCTTATAGTTTCTTTCTTTTCTACGTGGCATCTATCACAGTGATAAGGAAGGAGGGACACCAAACGATATGCATAATAAATAAGATGGCGTACGAAACAATTTCAAGAGGTAGCTAATCTTTCGCGGAATTCGGCAGAATCTTTGCACATTGCGCAGATATGGCTGGTCTAATCCGTTGCGACTGGTTGATTATGGTATATAGCGAAGTTAATATCAACTATGCTCCCACTATGTTAGCCAAGCTATCAATCTAATCGTCATAGACTCGGGTACTCTGTACTCTATTCTGTATCGAACTAATCGGAACTTCGTTGTGATAAGTTAACACGATATCAAAACGTGCTACTTCGGGGACTATTTTTCCGGCAGTTACCATCTATGTACTAATTACAAAAAACAATCTATTCTTATAAACTTTGAAACCTATTATACCAATGAAAATGTTGTAACAACTATCTCGTAACGATTCTTTCTCATCTACTTGTAAAAATTTACTGGTTTGCAGGTTTACAACTGAAGACAATTCCGTATCATTCCGGCTCCGAAACGTAACAAAAGCCTTATAGCTTTTTTCGAACGTTATAACACCCAGCAGCCGGACCAAAAAAAGCCTAACTGAATAAGCTAAGTGTGTGGCCTATTTACAGCTATGGAGCGTCTTTCAGTATGTCATAACAATGGTGATACATAAATCAGGCAATTTGTGGTATGTCCGGGAATCCTGGCCCGCAAGGCGTTAAAAGCGTTTTGGATTCTAGTCAAAAACCAAAAATAAAGAAAACGAGTGCATCGATGTTATCAAGGAGTGGCACCTTAGTAATCCCACTACGGATTTGAATATGAGGCCAGCTTGGAAATACACAAAAAAGCTGAGGTTCAGTATTCGTAAAAAATTGCCTATTTTCAAATAGCTCGTTGTGTAATTTCTGAAGCCGTTTAATTATTTAATTATTATTATTTATTATTTAATTGTTTTTTGTACTGAACAATCTTCTCGAGATTCTCGAGACTTGTTGGAGGTCCGAAGAGCGGATCATTCAAGACCGGGAACAAGCGTCGCAATGTCGTGGCCATGCCTCGGCACGAGGTCTCCGATCGGACCTTACGAGGACGAATACCCGTTTAGATTCCAACAAATTGCAAAACCTTATTTGTAACCTGTAGAAACTGTGTAAACAGGACAGTTGCTTGCTTGAAGCGGATTTTTTTATCAAGGTAATACGTTTTAG